ATGGCATCATGGTGAAATCAGTGTGTATGACATCATCATGGTGAAATCAGTGTGTATGACATCATGGTGAAATCAGTGTGTATGACATCATCATGGTGAAATCAGTGTGTATGGCATCATGGTGAAATCAGGCGCTTGTCAAAAATAGAAACTGACATTTTCCCCCTGTCTGACAGTTTTATGGAATGGTTTGTTTTTTGCTCAAAATCCGTAATGTGCATTGAAAAATCACATTTCTGTGGATTTTACTGAAAAAAATTGATCAATGGCACAAAAAATGTAAATTTCCCAGTTTCCAAGGACACTCTTGATACTCTTGCAGAAGCTTTTGAAATTACCTTACGTTGACAGTCATTTTTCGCGAATTCTTCTTCTTTCCCCCCACTTCCTTCAATCACAAAGATCTCAACTTCTCTGTAAGATAGATGGGTATTTTTTAATCAAAAGCAAGACAAAAGAACAAGCTTTAAAATTATGCCAATAACAGTATATATATATATATGCCCTAAAATTGACGAGTGCCTGATTTCACCATGTCACTCGTGACACATATATGTGTGAGGCATCGTGGTGAAATTCAAGGCGCTCGTCAAAATCATGAAATCAAAGAAATTGGCATTTTTCTGACCGTTGAGCTATTTCTTTCTGATTTTCTTTTTTTGGCTCAACACCTTTTAGATCTATACCCATTTAAAAACACATTGCTGCGTGGAATTTTCTGAAAAACATTGATTAAAAGCACAAAAAATGTCAATTTCCTGTTTCAAAAGACTCTCAAGCTATGGAAATTACAGAACTTTAGCGGCCATTTTCTCGCTAATTTCACCTCAGACACCAGGCAACCCTGACCTCCTTCAATGGCAAATTTTTCGACTTCTATTCAACATAGATGGATGTTTAGTTCACCAACAGGAAGGCAAATGACCAGGCTTTAAGATGATACTTACTTACCAATAGCCCCATATGCCCAAAAATTGATTCCACCACATCGCGACACATGTGTATTGGCAGAACCATTCCACAATTGCTTTAATCAATGTCTAGGGGTTTTAAAGCCGTTATATCAAGGGGCATTGTAAATATGGCGTCCTTCTGTCTCAGCATTTCCTTCCTTTTTGAAAATTGAAAAATAATGAGTGTTCCAGTCTTGGTTCTGATAAGGGTGATCTTTTTCTTTATTTTTCTTGAAACTTAAAAAAATGACAAACACAGTTACATGGAATGACAATGACAAATATATGCAGTGCTATTGCTAAACTATATTTATAAGATACTGAGATAGTTGTTGATTTGACTCTAGTCTGGTCCAGTCTTTGGCTGCATAGTGTGTAAAACACTTTGTATGTATGTATGTAGTATAGGGTTTTACACTTTACCAAAACAAAATAACAGTTTGCTTGGTAGAGTCGGGAAAGGAAAACTACAGTGTCAATGTTTGTTGACTTTACTTTGTTAAAAAAGGATTGAATATTAACATATGTATTAATTAATACGTGAGAGGGGGTTGTTTGAGGAGGTCACAGATAGATCCTTTTTTCTTTCTCCCCTGTTTTTTTCTGCCTTTCAGTCTTCCTTTTTTTCTGCGCTGAATCACAGACTGTTGTCGTCTGGATGTGCTCCTCTTTACTCAAACTCAGTGACTTTTTGTTCAGTGACTTTTTGTATTGTTGATGTGTAGTTCTATTCTTAAACTTGTCACAGTGGGTAGGTGGTGGGTGCTCTGGTGTGGTCTGCTTCTTCTTTCCTATCAAACATCTATCGTCCGTATCTCCCCTTCTTCTTTTTTATGTTTGTTACTCTCTTGTAACACCTCTAATCTTCTGGCGCTCATATAACCTAATGCAGTTGCGAGTGCAGTAAAACCTCTACTAAAACTAAAACTAAAAACTTATCACACACCCCCGGGGCGGTGCCACTGACTGAAGTGTCTTCAGGCCATTCCCAAAGAGGGGACATTAACACCATGTTCTATGCACAGCAGAATTGTAAATGGGCTGATTCAACAATGTCACGCTCATAACTGTGCATGAACTACAACAGGGAACTGCTGCTTTTTCTTTCCTAGTCCTTACGATTGTCATTTTCCTCTACTTCTTTTGTATGTTTGTCACACTCTTGTGACCTTCTATTTCTGGGGTGCCTTGATAGTCGAAGCAGACTTTGTGCTGTTGAAGCTAGAGAGGTGAGCTGAGTTAGCCTGATTCCCTGTAAGGATTTCTCTGTTGACATCCACCCCTTGGCGCTCATATGACCTTGTACAGTTGCGAGCACCGTAAAACCTCTACTAAAACTGAAAACTTGTCACGTAATATCTTGAATGTGGTTGTGGGTGGTTACAAGGCACCTCAAGTAGGTCCTATGATTTCTTTTTCCTTCTGTTGAGCCTGTATACACATGTATATCGGTCTCACTTTTTCCTTTCATGAAATATTTGTTATTGTGTGGGTCTGCTGTTTACGCACACTTTTGTTGTAAGTTGTATGTGTTGTCAGGCAATGGTGAATCTCTACATTATGAAGTCAAAAAGACAATGAGGTGGAAAACCCTATCTGGACTGTACTTTGGCTCTGCTGTTTCGGTCTATCTTACTATTTCCTTCCTTGAAGTAATTGTTTCAGTATTTTACTAACTGTAAATTATTAATATTTTAAGGTACTTTTATGTATGTAACAAATAAATCAACAAGTGGGATTCCTATTCCTGCCGGCTCGTTCCTCCTTTCTCACAAAACATCTGTCCTCCTTATCTCTCCTACTTCATGTCTTTGTATGTATTACTCTCTGGTAGCACATCTTATCTTTGGCTCTTACATGACCTTTTTGTGTTGCAAGTGCTGTAATAGTCTTATTAAATTAAACCAGGGTGGTTGGCAGGCGCTCTGGTGTGGTTTGCTTCTTCTTTCCTATCGAACATCTATCGTCCTTATCTCTCCTCCTTCTTTTTTATGTCTGTTACTCTCTTGCAATACCTCTAATCTTCGGCACTTATATGACCTTATTGTGCTGCAAGTGGCGTAAAACACTTACTAAAACTAAAAAGTCTTTTATTTAAAAACGAATCTTTCTCTCATTTTCTCTCTGTTCCAGGTTGAGGAACAATTAGGTCGGCCGGACACCGTGGACAACCAGGGTGTGGAGCGGCCCCCATCGGTGCCCGGTCATCTGGTGGTCACCACAGCGGCCGGCCTGGTCAGGGTGCTGTCGCTGCACTCTTTGACCTCCGTGGCAGAACTGACGCCTGGCCCAGGGGAGAAGTTCTTGTCAGTGACCTACTGCTCTGGTGAGTGGCCCGCTGGATTGTAAGGATTGACGCAATTGTGGGTTTCTTTACACCCACATCGACACTATATATAGATCATTTTGGAGGCAGGTTTTATTTCTTTACCCCCACATCGACACTATATATAGATCATTTTGGAGGCGCGTTTTATTTCTTTACACCCACATCGACACTATATATAGATAATTTTGGAGGCGCGTTTTATTTCTTTACACCCACATCGACACTATATATAGATCATTTTGGAGGCGGGTTTTATTTTTTTACCTGCCTGGTGGGGCTGAGCAGGAATGAGAGTGAAACAACATCCAAACAGACAAATCAGGGATGCCACTTTTCCGCTTTTTTCCGATATTTCTGGTATTTTGTTCCTGGTCCGCTATTCCGTTATTGAGATGGAGATAGAATCTATAGTTGAAAAAAAACCCACCAAAAAAACCCAAACACACACACATTTCTTTCTATGAACATCTATTGTTTTTGTTTGTTTGTCATTTCTCTCTATGTACACCCTTGGGGTTTCAAATTGATATTCATATGTTAGTGAGACCGTGGTGCGTGGATTTTCAGCTATTAAAAAAAAAAGTTGAGTGGCATCCCTGACAAATGGAGACACTTGATAATTGTTTGTTCTCTTGTAAAGAAACCTTTCATTTGTAGACTGGCGGCAATGCGGCTTTTTCTGAATAAGTGTGGTGTCACATGCGTGTGAGCCAATAGTTGATTAAAAAGTGATTTGATTTGGAATAATGGTGGAAAAGAATGACAGAACTTGGCACCGCGTCCAACGAAGGGGGTAGTGTAGTGCAGAGACCCTTTTGCTATAGCATGCAGGAGACCTGAGTTCGATTCTGAGTGGGGGAGGAAATTTTTATGTGGGGGTAGGACTGCTTGAAATGTATCTCAACTCTCGTGTTGTGTGTTTTGTTTTCAGGAATCGAGCGGCTGTGTGTGTGCACGGACAGTGGCAAGATCCAGTTCTTTGATCTAGAGACGGTCAGCGACCGACGCAGTTCTCTGAGCAGTCTGGACCAGGGAGACGGCTCAGAGACGGGGGCTGAAGGGTCGGCCTGCAAGAGGGCCAAGATAGAAGATGACCTGTCTGACCACTCAGGTAGCTGGACTTCACATGTCATTCACAATAACAACAGGGATATAGCAAGCAGTAATAGTGTTGTAAATATAATACTGTGGAGTCCACTTAACAGCAACCCAGATAAGAGCAACATGCTGCTTAACAGCAACCTAGGCTTGTGTAATGACATTTTCTAATAAGAATATAGCCCTTTAGTGGCGACCCTAGCCTCTAAGAGCAGCCTTCATTGCTCTAAAATGCTTGACGAGCAAGTTTTTGAACCATTCATGAACAGTGTGAACGCAAAGACTGGCCTATCTTTTCAGTGTGTGTGTGTGTGTGTGAGTGTGGTGTGTGTGTGTGTGTGTGTGTGTGTGTGTGTGTGTGTG